CCACCCTGAGTAGATACTTTGGTGCAGTCCGGAATCTCGCAGATCCGACCACCACCATGGGACCAGCAGTGACCGTAACGCTTGGCCTTCTTGGTGCAACCAGGCTCAGTGCAGGTCTTATATCCACCGTGCTGGAAGCAACGTTGGTACAACTTGGCACGCTTACAGCACCCAGCCACAGAACAGCGTGAACCGCCGCCATGACGAACGCAACACCCGCGTGACACAGCCAAGTTGCTGCAGCATTCGGCCTGGCACAACCGAGTATGCGTTTTACGCTTGCGTACTTGTGACTTGGCACCATGAAACTGGCTTGTCGAGTGCGGCGATGACGATCTATAGTCTTTGCTGTCACGCACCGGTGGCGTGTGCGATGCCCTGCTGCTGCTGCTAGCACCGGCAGTGTATATAGCAGCCAGCGAAAGGAGTGGCAATCGGGTGTTGTTGGTGCCATCGCAGCGTACGTTGTTGAAGTGCTTTTCGATCGGCGCATATGTGACCGGTGTCTTACGGATGGGCGAGAGCGAGAGTGCAACCCGTTCCAAGCGCACCACTGGCGATAAGCTATGGAAGAGCGACAATGGAGGCGGAGTCGCGGCAGCGTTGTACTTGGGCGTTTGCATTTCCGCCTTGATGTTCGGATTCAGAAGGAAGGCGATCTCGGCCTTGCCCTTCATGATTCGTTCGACCAGAGAAGCGGTGGTTTGTCGACTGAGACGTGAATTCAAAAATGAGCCACCACCAGGGTGGTTCGCCATCGTGCTACAAAGGCGGCAATTTCGATGTCGAAAAAACGCTCGGGATGAGTGCTCAGAAGCGCATTAGAAGGATTTTTGTGGCCGAAACGCAACGAAATGCACGCGTGGTGTGTGACGGAGTCCGGATTCACTTGCGTGACGTCCACGACTCGCCAGACAATACGAAAAATCAGCATCACGAGTTTTCAACAGTACCAGTCTGCGCGGTCTCGAGCTTTATAGAATCAAAACGCTGGACGCGAAGGTGAGTTACATTGCTACCACGGTCCCTTACAACGTCAAATAGTCCTTCGTGCAGGCATCACTGCTATTCAGGGTGGTAGCGCCGGTAAAAGCGCCTCCTTGTTTGACAGCATAGGTTCGACTAGGTTCGCAGCAGCAAAGGTTGCTTGGGGATTTTTTCTGCGTGCGTTTCTTCTTCAGCCAGAGTGCCGGTGGTGCAGACATGCAACGCCGATCTTGACTCACATAATGCTGCATTTCCAGATAAGCCAGTGGCTGATTCGCATGACGGTGTTCAGTATTCGGGTGTTTTAACTGTTAAAAGCACTGAACCGCTCAAGTTTTGGCAGCCGACCATGCGCGCACAACGAACTCCTTTACACTAACTACACCGTTGTCGTGGGCACACAGTTTTTATCCTGTTTGCGCATACATTGTGAGCATTTCGTGGTGAAAAGTTTAAGATCCGGTATGAGACGACAGAATTTAGCAGCTCCAGATTAGCGCAGTTCTTCTTTTTTACTTCAAAATAAGTCTCAGATTAAAAAAAATATATATTTGAGTATTACAGTTCAAAAATTGTCAATCGTAAAATATGCTCGTCAAACCATTCCAATTTTGGGCAAACTATGTCAATATATTTTTTTGCAATTTTCTTATGTGATGAAATAATCAGGGCCTTTAGGTCATGTTGTTATTGATGTACTTGACCTACTGTCGGCTACCCGTCCTTTTACGTATGGAGTCCAACCGAAGGGAGCCAGGTGACATACGAGCCGGAGCTAGAAGTAGCATGATACCGGTGACCAACCGGCGGACATTCTGTCCACAGAGACGGCTAGGGAGAAGACATTTCCGGCAGCTACGGGTACGGGGGTCCCGTAGCCCGTCCTCATGCACTCCCGTTATATAGCGTGTAATATACAGATTGAACTACACCTTTCACTCACTTCAGGTGCATTCGACAGTCGAGACGCGAACGATACGCATCACAACTTGCACGGTTGCTAGCCGTGATCCCCGCCACTCTGCACACCCTCCTTCGTCACCGCTACCGCTGAACTCTATGCCTACCTTGCCAATTAGTCCAAA